GGTGGCGACAGTGGTGGTGGTTGGGTGGCGATAGTGGTGGTGGTGTGTGTAATGGTGGCGGCGATAATGATGGTGGTAGTGGTGATGGTGGTGGGGGGTGGTGGTGGTGCAGTTCCAAACACTACTTTTTTTTTTAAAAGTATTTATGAAAAGTTGTAAGTTTTAGAAGAACTTTTAATAAGTTACTCAAAACATACCCTTAACGGCTTATTTTCCTTACTAAATTTAGAGTGTTAATATTAGCCGTAAAATTAATTTTAAGTAAAATTTAAAGGGATCTTAACTGCGAAAAATAAAATTTATTTTATTTATGTTTTGAGATTTGAATTATATAATATTTTATTATATAGACTAGATATTGCCTATGCCTAATAAAAAAATGTTTAACAATAAATATATTTGTATTCACACCCAAATCAAATCACAAACATAGAGGAGAAAAAAAAGAATTTAAGCACAAGTTATAGTGGAGATGAGTCCTGGTAGTAGTGGTGGGCGATAGTGGTGATGGTAAGAGATGGTGATGGTTGTGGTGGGGGGTGACGACCGTGGTAATGGTGACAGTTGTGGGTGATAACGGTGATGGTGGTGGTACATTTTTTGTGATGATAGTGATAGTGACAGTCATGAATAACGGTGGTGGTGATGGTGATGGTGATGGTGGGTGTGGATGGTGGTTGGTGACTATGATGGTGATCGGCAGTGATGGTGGGCGGTGACGATGGTGATGGTGGTGGTGGTGGGCGATGAGAGATGCTTCTTGGCGACAATACGATAGGTGGTGGCTAATGGCGGTGGTGGTGTTGGTGGTAGGTGTGGTGGGGGATGGGCAATAGTAACTGAAGGCGATAGTGGGTGACAACAGGTGATGGTGGGTTGTGGTAATGGGTAGCAGTGAGTGGTAATGGGAAATAATGGTGATGGTGGCTGCTGACGATGAGTGATAGTGGTAGTGGAATGATGGTGGTAGTGATAATAGATATAAAAATGCGATAATGATAGTGATAGATGGTAGCGGTGGACGATGGTTGTAGCAATCAGTGCTGGGGTAGTGGCGGCGGTAGGGTAGGGGTGGCAGTGGCGATGGTGATGAGGGTGGCGGCGATGGTGGTGAGGCGGTGAGGGTGTGGTGCGACAGTGACAGTGGTGGTAGGGCGACGACAATAGTGATAGTAGTGGTGTTGGGGTGGCAATAACGATGATGGTAGTGACGGTGATAATGGGGGTGGGGGGGGTTGTAGTGGGAATGGTGGTGGTGGTGGGGGTGACAGTAATTGTGGTGGTGGTGGGGCGGAGAGACGGTTTTACACACTACTTTTTTAAAAAAAAAATATTTATAAGAAGTCATAAGTTTTAAAAATATTTTTTAAAAATCATTCTAAGCACATTCTAATAGTTTATTTTACCTATTAAATTTGGGGTGTTAATATGAGTCGTTGAATAAACTTTAAAGTAAAATTTAAAGAAATGTTAACCGCTAAAATCAAAAGTCATTTTGTTTATCTTTTAAAATTTAAATTATATTGTACTTGATTGTATAGATATTTTTTCTATTCTTCCATTTTTTTATTATACCAAACATAAAAAAATTAATTTTTATTTTCCATCTTTCCTACCAAACATAAAAGACAAAAAAAAAAAAAATTTCTGTTGAAAGATTAAAAATATATAATTCTTACTATTTCATCTTTCCATAGTTTCATCCATTCAATTAAATGCACTATTAGAGCGGTCCGACTAGATAACTGACCACCACCTTGAACTAGTGCGCAGACCCACAATAATTTAGTATTGGAACAGGACATTACCTAAGACTCAAACCCAAAACCTGTTGACTTTGTCACCTCCCTAACCTATTTTTCCTTTCTTTTTTTCGAACTGGCCCTCTAGAAGTTTGAAACATATAACATTACCTACCGATGATTGCGGCCAGAAAAATCAAAATCAAATCAAAATAATACTGAGACTAATTTGGTGGATCCTTTGAAAACAGTGTTCAGATCAGAGCCGCACATGATGTATGTTGGTGTATGAATATGATAGATTGAGTCAAAGTCAACAGGTTTTATGTTCTTGTTGGGAGAATAATTAATATTATAGTAATTGATTTGAAACGTTACCGCGTCAAACACAGAAATGGACAAAACTGCTTTTATAAATTATCCCTAGTCTGGACAAACCCACTCTTGGGTTGCGTGTACGTCTCTCTCTCTCTAAATTTGTAGTGATCATTCGTTTTCCTTTTTGGCCATGAACCCGTGCAGCTCAGCTTTTCTTCTTTCTTAAGAGCTGCCAAGAACTGTATGATATCAGAACAATATTGCTATTACTACTAGGTCAATACAGATATTATTATTATTGAAATTGTATGATGAATTAGGTTATATTATCAAAAAATCTTTCTCAATAACAATTATAGATAATCAATTGATTTATTTGTAGCCATCGACTAAAAAAATAAATAAATAAAGTGAACTAACAAGATCAAAAATTTTTACATCTTTTACATTCTCGTTAATTGAGAAAAAAGTAATGATAGATAAACTTAAAAACTAGACTTAAAAATCAGACTTGATAATTTCAACCATTGAATAAGTAGTGGGTTCCAATAAATGCTGGGACCTACAGTGAAATCAATGGTTGAAATTATCAAGTCTGATTTTTAAGTTTAATTTTTAAATTCATGTAGCATTGCTCTTGAGAAAAAAAAGTTATAGTATCATAGTCAGACCCACCCATGTATGGTTTGAGTACCAATTCTCTTCCACATTACAAAAGTTGTTTTGGGTATAGGGTAGTCAAGTCAATATGTATATAGATTGTTTTTGCATAGGGTGCTCTTGTTACCTACTCTATACTAATATATATACATACAAATGGTTTGTTTATAGAGGTAATGGGAATGTCAAAGAGTTGGGTGGCAGGGAAAATCGATGCATTAGCTGACTATTGTTGTTGGGAGTGGGGGGATCAAAACAAAGGACTGGACTGTGACCGTAACTGAATTGGGTTCCACAAGAAAACTCGATCTGTGTGAAAGTGAAGCTAGCTGGATGGGTAAACAAACTCATCCTAATTTTGAATGCATTGTCCATTGGTGTGTACCTTCAAACCTCGTGTTAACCAGAATAACCATGTTTTTCCTTTGTTTCAAAGAGCAAAGGTTTTGTCTTGTGTTCTATATCATAACATTGGAACTCTCGGCTGTCTTTGGTGCAATGACAAGATTGTCCTCTTATAACCGAGAATCACAGGTTATAATCATAAAAATAGTCTAACGGCACGAAGGATGATTAAACTTACATTTAATTCCTCTCACTTCTTGTACGAACGAGAGAAGAACCAGAAATATGTTGTTTTGATTTGCAACATTTTCTACAAACCCATTAATCTCAGAATCGACCATACATCATCTACATGTGAAACGGACTTGTTTCTGGTCAAATTCAACTGTCAACACGGAGTTTGAAACCCTAGAAAGGTCCCAGTTAGAACACAATAACAAGTCAAACATATCAGCAGGGCCCTCCTCCGCCTGCATGTGATGTCTTCGTGCATATGCCAGTGGATTTCCCTTGTTTTTTAATCTATTCTGGCAGTGAAAGCAGAAGTCAAGCATGGGTTCGAAGTTTGAACTGAATAATAATAAGTTAATTTTCTATGTATTTTGGCTTGCTTAGAACAAGTCATGAACCCAAAATTTCGAGAACCACACAAGTGTAATACCATACCACAAAGATTCTATACAGTAGATACTTCTAAGTGTATTATTTTTTTAAAAGGATTATTACCATCATGATATTTATGTAATCGGTCATGGTGGAATTCTTATGCTGGCCAATACGACCAACTAAATGAGCCAGTGTGTGGTAGAAATTCCAGGAGTCTTTCGATTTTGTCAAATTTTCCTTGCTCTACGAGAACACAAAAGTGCTGCGTCACCAACTTTTTTGAGTCAGAATCTAACTTAATAACTTATAAAAGATAATCTCAATGCTTAGCTTAAGTGATAATATGAATAAGCTATAAATCAAGACATCTTGAGTTTAAATCTTAATAATTCCTTAGGAATAAGTCATAAAAAATTTATTTCTCATGAATAACTTAATTTTGGTGTGAATAATCCACTTTTAATCAAATCGAAGAGGAGATTAGTTAAAATGTACGTAAACTGACTGAACACCCCTGATCATTGAACTGAAAAAAAAAAAAAAAACCACTTCTAGCAGATGATAGTTCAATAGTTAGGTTCCTAAATGCCAAACATACCAAACTAAATTCCTAAAAAAAAACCTTTATTTTTTGGAATCTAAGACTAAATCTAAAAATTTTGCAAACCATGAGATGTCCATCTCCAAATTTCCTATTCTGAGTAAGAAATAAGACCAATGGCTTGGAATCAGCTATCATTTTAGTTATGACAGAACTGCTAAATTGAAAAGAGTCATTTATCCCTTTAAGGTCAGGTCAGGAAAAATTTATTCTTTATAAATTTTTTAGTCCTAGTGTAGATGACCTGCTTTTAACTAAACGAAAAAAAAATTAGTTGAAGTATGCGTAAATTGGTGCGGACACCCCCTGATTATTGAAAAAAAGAAAAGAAAAAAGAGTCATCCTTCCGGACTATCAGTGAATAAAGGGCCACCACACAGAGCCCACCATACAGCCAAAATTATAACAAATTTCAACAATCATAATTTTACAGCTGAAGTCCTAACAAACTACTTGTACATCAAAACCGGTCCAAGTACTGCGAGTTTTTCTTACAAAATTTGGAGCCAAAAGCTCAAATGTGTGAGAACATTCTAATACTTCTTTCATTAATGTATGTTCTATCCCAAAACAAAGGATGATTCATCCAAAAAGATAAATAAGAGAGATCCGGACCATATTCTTGACCGGAAAAGGCGAACTCCACCCCCACTTACCTGGTGCAGTGCAAGTTTATCTCACGACTCTTTGGCAGCAGTGGCTTGCCGGAGTCTGCGTTGATGAACATCCCAGTTGTACACACGAGCAATTGTGACCTGATCAATAGCACTTATATACTCAACGCCAACTTATTTTGAAAGTAAATACCATACAAAAGTAGTGGGTGCTCTAATAGGTTTATATATTTTGGGACTCAACATGGTCCTCAAAATCAATAGCTATGATTATAGCCAAAAAAGTGAAATATTGATGGCCTGTTGACCCATGGTACCATACACATCAACTACATTGGGCTATTAACATTTCAGCCGTCTCTGAGCAGATTAAGGCTAAAGTGAACTGCAAGCTAGTAGACATGAGAACAATATTGAACATTTCTATTAAGGACTTCTTTGTAAAGAATGGATAATGCAAACGGCACCTGTGTAATTGTCACTTGATCCCTTAAGAATTGTAGGTCAGCAACAAGAACTTCTAAACTGGCTTTAGCGTTTTCCAAGTTTTTTTGTAGAAGAGCAGCGGCCTGTACCATGAAGTTTTAAGACCTTCAAAACAGTTGTGTACTTAAATATGTGAAAGCTAACTAGAGACATCTTTAGATAACAAATTATGCACCTCTTCACATGAGTACTGCAGCATCACATTTGCACCCAGCCATAGGCACACAGAATCAGTATCCTCAATGCAAGCCCTGGAATAGATGCCTTCTGACACTTCAAAATCAGCAATCAGTGCCTGGAACCAAAAGCCAAACAGAAAATAGAGAACCTCAATATGCCAAGATATACTAGCAGTATGATAACGCACAATAAAACAAGAAACTTAAAGTATTGGCTAGAAGATTCTGCGCACCAAACAACTAAATTCAACCAGATGCGTGCAATGATAAAAGCTTTTACCGGAATGATAATAGGGAAGAAACATTGGTCTGCAACTGGAAAAATCAGTGGTAATATATACTTCCCAGACGAGGTAAGAATGATTAAAATAAAGATGAGACGAGAAGAAGAAAAGGGATGAGAAGAGAAGAAGAGAAGAAGAGAGAGATGAGAAATCATAAGAAGGAAATTAGGGCAAGAAAAGCAATAATTCTCAATATTCAATAAATCCAAGTCTAACAAAACAAATACCTCCTTCCTCTATATGTAGGGAATGCAAACCTTAAAGCAAATAAATAGTCAAAACGAAAAATAAGTCCCCAAAAAGTAAAATGATGAACTACGTGTACATCGACGACAATGACAGACAATCTAATTCCCCTCAATAAGTTTTTAATCTAGCAGGAATAAGCAAACCAAAGGCAACCATGACCACCATCCGATACACGCAATTGCTTAGTTTTTCTTTTGGCTTTTAATTATATGGAGTAAATTTCTTTTAAGCCCTAGATAGGGAAACAATTTCGTTTCATTGTCTAGGTTATAAAGAGTAAATTTGTCATCATATAGTGTTCCAATCAATTGCGGAGACCCAAAGCACAACCCTTTCTTTTTGTTTTGCTTTGGACTTTATAATCTCTTCAAATAGGTGTGAAACTGGTGCTTAAATGAAATGTTTTTATTGTATTGATATTATTATAGACACGACATTGTAGTTATTCATAGGGATATATCAATTAGTATATTTTTAGAACTGTGTGTATTTTGTTACATGACACTACATTTTACGTTACGATAAATGATACACTACTTTTAGAAAACGATGTGTGTTGTGAAACACATTTTTGACAGCCTTGACGTTTATTTTAGTTGAAGTATAAATACTTAAGTTGCACCATCTCCAACAACTTAAGTTTTTGGAGTAAATGAGTGTTTAACATCTTGCAAAGCAAGAGATCTTGGGTTCGAATCTTGCTGCCACCCTAATTATTAATAAAAAAAATCTTTTTTCAAGTGGTAAAAGCCCAAAATTTAGCCAGCACGTGAGGGTGTGTGTTGAAGTATAAATACTTAAGCGGCACACAATCTAACAACTTAAGCTTTTGGAATAAATGGTTGTTGAACAATTTTTATCCAATAACCACTAGAGAATGAAGTTTAGTATGGCAGCAAAGAAAGGGATCAGAAGCCTTTTTGTAAAGAGAAGTTATATCCTGTAACTGATACAAACATATTTTGATTCCATAGCATCAATATTTGTGTGAACTTGTGTTCCACACTACTTTACCGAATCAAAGCACTAGCTAGACTAAAAGCATTCTCTTGACCTAATAAGGTAGATATATTGGAAAGGATCATACAGAATTTATGAGCTTTGCCCTCGTACACAATCCAAGCATTAGCTAACTGTCCAGATACTAGATTACCAAACCACAGAATATGTTCAAAAAATTCATAAACATTTCAAAAAACGAACCTCACCAGCACCCTTCTTAGCTTGCAAAGTGGAAACTATGTCTAAGCACTTCTCAATGTCAGGAATCTTTGCCTGGAAATCACAAGAGCAAGAAGCAATGTTCAGATCTCACTATTCACATTAAGGCTATTATTAGCAATATAAAACTTTAAATGAACACCTTATGTGAAATATCACTATAATACCTGAAGCTCCCTCTGCTGAGCAAGAAGTTTCATCTCAACCACCCTATACTGCTGAAGTCTGCAAAAGATTAGAGCAAGATGCGCATCACAAAACAAAATAAAAAAGATAAGCTAAATAATTAGGGGCAAAAAATTAATTTAAAAGACAAGCAACAGAGATTTGGTGCACAAATAAGTTAAAATCCATGTCAATAGTCTTCCCTTTTGTGAAACAACTCAAAAAGCCTTATTGAACTTCTTGGGTTTGGGCTGTTTCACTTAGGCGAACAATTTTTTGTAAGGTTGTACTTTATAACTGCCTAAAAGGAAAGTATGAACAAATTACTTTCAGGTTAAAAGTGAACATCATAACAAAGGAAAGAAAGTGTTTTATGTGACCTTTGGTAAGTAAAAATAGAAACTTGTAGCATAATACCAAAAAAACTAAAGGCAGTTCCAAGAGCTACAGGGGGTATGAATAGGTGCATAGTAAAGAGTAACAACACTAGTTTCATGATGACATTAAAACACTCGTCCACAATTATACAATAATGGAACAATATAATTGAATCCAATTGCATTACTAAAACTGTAGTAGCCTGCTAAAAGGTCTTGTGAGGTGAGGAGGTGCTATAGTTTCATGTGTTGTATCCCACATCAACTCAGAAGGAGAAGTGACTGGGCTATATATGTGGTGTGCTCACTCTTAATTGTCAAGAAGCATTTTCTGGGGCAAAACCCCAGAAGAACAAAACCGTGAGGTTATATGGGCATCCAAAGCGAACAATACATTGACAGTTGAGGTGGGCCTTTACAAAAATTGTACTAACTAATATCTTGACTGGGTTCCAAAACAAATATGCTTCATGATTAGTAAGACTACATTGAAACATATGCATGGTAAAAAGAAAAGACAAAGAAGAGAAGAAGTATGCAGTAGACCTAATGGAGAACATTTTACAATCCAATGAATAGAAATTTAAATCAAAATCTTTGTGTGAAGTTTTCTTCAGATGATTTGGACAAGTTCACCAAAGTAATGCGGTTGTCATGACGTGAGAAAAAGGTTGAAACGCTTGTATGATAACAAATATTATTAAAAGAGGAATAAGGTTTGAAACTTGAAAGTCAGCTATGGCTAAGGCAATAAGTATATTCATGAGGTCAATATTTGCATTTAGCATACAAATACCAAGTAATCCAGCTGTCAAAAGACTATTATGTCGGCTAGTAATCACAACACAGGAAAATGAGAACCTTTATGACTGTGAACTGCTTCACAACAAACCATAGTTGTTAAAATGTGCCTAAATTAACATGGCTTGGAACAAATAATGCAGCAAAGAATAGACATGTGCAATGAGATACATAAAAATAGATTTTTCAGATCCTCATCAAAGGAGTCCAGATATAATGAACAGCAAGTTCTGTATGATTTTCCACTGCGGAGTATTTTTACCTTTACAGAGAAAAAGCAACAAGATGTGCAATACTAACATGGGGGAGCTCGAGGTTCTGGTTCCCCATGATTTGATATTTATCATACGTGGATGCCAGTTAATCTTCTTCTGGCCTCAATTGACTTCTCATCCTTTGTCAAGCCAATTCAATTGCTCACGAGTTTTATACCATGGTTTTTTTGTTTGGGGAACGGGAGAGAGATTTGAACCCTTGACTTCAAGAAGGAAAGACTAGATAAGGAGTATCATTGGACCAAAGGCCCATTGGTGATGTCATGGTAATCTCTTTGGTCAAAGACTTATTGACATCACAGTTTTTTTTTTGAAGTTGGGAAGACGAATGTGCATCTTAGAAGGTTTAAGATTAGGGTCTGGGACCAACAGCATGGGTTGTTCCTGTTCCATTCTAACATAAGTAAAGCAAATTATAGAAGAAAATAAAAAAAAAAAAACATAAAACCTTTTATACATGAATTTGGTATTTTGCTTTCATACCCCCAGAAACTTTATGTACACATTCATTCCTATACCAGAACTAATGGAAGAATAACCCGATGTCAAAGTTCACACACAGACATTACTGGCTCATAAAAACTTGATCAAGAGGTGTCCCATACAATACAAACACTCAAAAGGGTCCAACACATCTCTACAATGCCTCATCACAAGAGCTTGACCTCTAAGTGATTTGGAGATCAGTGAATACTAAACTAAAACCTCCAATAAACCCAGATAGATACTGATCTGAGCCTTTGAATAACACATATGTAGGGACATATACATACACATATGCAAGTACGTATAAAGGGATAACAGAAAGAGAGAGAAGAAGAGAAAAGAAAAGACCTTTCTTGGAGGAAGGCAAGAGAAGAGTTGACATCCAGACCCGATTCGGTCAGATAAGTTTGCACGTCTTCTACGAATGCTGCAGCTGGTATCCCCCTTCTCCCTGTTACCCCGCCGGCTGTGGACGTTGACGATGACGATGACGATGACGCAGCCATCTTTCCGAATTGCAGAGAAGATAGAGAAAGTATGAGTTTTTGCAGCAGTGACAGAAGAACGGAGGTCAAGTGCAAATATGACGTCGTTTAAAGTGTAATTGCTGTTTGCTATGAACTTTATCGAACGGCGACGTATTGTGGTCGTTTTTTTGCTTTTTTCTTTTTTGGCTAATTACACTTTAGTCCCTGAAAGTTTACACCAATTAACGTACGGTTTTAATTATAATTGTTAAGCCCTTGAACTTTAATCCATGCCACAATATTTACACTCTGTCCATTGTCAATTGATATTGAGTTGTTTATTTTTCTCAGTCGATTTTTCTTTTTACCAATTGTTTCTAAAGTATGGAAAGTGATGGAGTTCGAGAAAAAGATATTAAAATTTTTATTTTACCTAGGGCTGTTAATCAAACAGAGTTACTAAAACTTGGCCTGAATTTGGCTCAGGTTCAACTCGTTGAAGTTCAATTCGTTTTCTAAATGAGGTCAAACTTGAACAAGTTTTAGGCTCGCTTAGAAAACAAGCCCTATAAGTTCGGTTCAAACTCGACTCGTTTATGTGTAAATATTCCGGCTCGGCTCGGGTTTGACTTATTTTTGATTTGTTCAGGATCGGCTCGTTTTCTAAACAAGCCGAACTTGAATAATTTTTTAGACTCGATTAAAAAACAAGTTTTTCAAGTTTGATTCCAACTCGGATCGAGCGCGTTCACCCAACAGCCCTAATTTTATCTCTTCAAAAAAAAAAAAGAAGTAGCGTTATTCGTTTAGACTCCGCCATGACGAGAGTCTTGATTACGACAAATTAACCATTTTCTGCATAGACATCCATTGTCATGAATAGGATGCTCACGGTATTTCTTTCTTCAAGAAAAATATGGCCCAACTCTTCCTTGGGCCTTAGCCTTTCCTTTTTGTTTGGGCTATGCCCTCCCGCTCAATGTACATTGTATCACATGATTCCTCAAATATATATATATATATATATATATATATATATATGTGAACATCCGGGCCTGCTCCAGATGAATATCCCAAAACAATCTGACATATTTTTTAAAGATGACGATGGGAAATCTCCGAAATTTATTAGATCACCCACACTTGTGGCGGAGGAATACCATGGTTATAAATCAACAAAACCACACAAACTAGCACCAATTAGCACCTCATACTAGGCATTCCAAGCTTATCTAGCCTTACTAGGCACTGCTCAAGTACCTAGTTGTCTCTCCTGTCGATCCCTGCCTTGCCAAATAATCCGCGGTTTGATACCAAACCGTATACATGTGAGAGAATATTCATGTAACTACAAAGGAAGAGTTACATTCAATATCAATGTAGTTATAACCCATCTCTCTACACCCAAACAATGTGACATCTATCTTGAAAATTATTGCATAAACCAATTACTAGGTCGACAAAACACATTTAGATTTGTCTAATCACTGCCAATCAGGTGCAGAGCCAGTCCAAAAGTAAGTCTCTTTTAAGTATGTGGTCGACTAGTGCTCTTATAAATTAAAAGCTTACCTATCGAATCGGCTAGTAGATTTGAGGCTCACCTTGACCACTCAATGCAAATCCTTCCTCCAGTGTGGGAGGATTCCCCAAGATTTTTTTTTATTTTTTATGAAGTATTTAAATTTGTACCGATTAATCTTTTAAACTCCGAACTGGCCACCGTGACTCTCTAAGAGTTTGACGTGTATTTTGTTTTCTCCTCATATAGGATTGGCCAATTGTATTGTATGACCAAATGATTTTTGATCCTTTCGATTTTAAGAATCTCCTATTTTTCTCAATTTCAATCGCTCTCGACTTACAATGGAATCCATAGTTGAATTGGAAGAAGAAATAAAATTAATAGGATACAAATCCAATGTTTAAAATCCTATATCATCTTGAATATTAAACTTGCCTTCCTCTCTTTTGCTTTTAAAAAAAAAAAAAATCGCACTTGTGACTCCAAACAAAAAAAACACCCTAGATTTGTTTGATTCAATCACCCGTCAATCATGCAAATTTAATACTATGAAAAAATAGGGTACTTGGGAAATGTTTATTTCTTCCTAACATGGGGTGGTTATTTATTTATTTTTTGTTGTGCGAAAATGAAGAGAGACGATTAATAAATAGTAATCACTTCAGAGTAATCATGAGACTTCTTTTACTTTGGAATATTCGGTTTGAGTCATAGCTACTAATTCGAAAGAATAGTTCATCACCATAACACCATCAAAGTCAAGTAACAAATTCCATTATTCTCGTGCATCAAATCCTGCTTGATAATCATACAGGAATCGAGAATGACTTTAAACGAATACAACTTATCACTAGACCACTAAATCGGATATTACCAGAGTTGTTACTGCAAAGAAATATAGGACAACACTTTAATGTTGCTGCATTATACATCTACCCAAATTGTAATTATTTGTACTATCATACCAATGGAATATCAACAATATTGGTCCCCTACTATTATTGTCCGACCTCTTCCTCCCTCTTTTGTTCTTTGTTAATCCCTAGGCTTTCCTTCTTTTAACTGAAAACGACACTCGTCGTAAGCGACATCAATACATTGCACATGAAAAAGGCAAAATGTAGTTATCCACCCAAAGTTTTTTTGTCACCAGGAAGCTCCATTGGTGCATTGGTTCATTCTTGTTAGGGCTATAAGGTTGACAAATTTAATTTATTATTATATTGTATCACACCCGAAAAAAATGTATTGAATGTACAACATTCTCGCCTATGCAACTTTTAAAAGGGATAAGTAGTAAATAATTTTATCTGTAACTTAAAGAGGTTGATTATTAAATTTGCATTCGTATCTTAATTTAGACGAACGAACACTTATCGTCGGTACACTACAAGAATAAGAGTCTTTTGTGATAAATTTTTTACAGTAACTATGTTTGCTGTAAGACAATTTTTTGTGGCGATTGTGTTTGTCGTCACAAAAAACGTGTTTGCATTAATATTTTATTAATATTTGTGACAACTATTTTTTCTGTCGTAAATAGTGCTATAAACTCAAAAAAAAAATTTGTATTTGAGATAGCTGTTTTTCCTGCCACAAATAATATTTCATAAACTCAAAAGAATTTTTTATATTTATATTAGCTATTTTTTCCGTTGTATATAATATTTCATAAAACATTAAAATGTTGTTTTATATTAAAAACCAGTTTATAGTTTAAAGAAGAAAAATTCTAAAAAAAATTGTATTGGGCACAACTGTTTTTTATGTTACAACTCTAAACTTTTTATGACAATATTTTATCGTCGTAAAAATCCTATTTTTTTGTAGTGGTATAAATACGATATCTTTAGTGCTAGTTGCCTATCGCTTTGGTCCCCATATGCCTATTATAAACACCAACTTTGCAGCAATTATTGTTTAGAGAGGTAAATTTATTGACACCCCCTAGCCATCTTTCCCACTTCATTGCCCTAATTTTCATTACAATTTCAACTTTTGTCGTCCTCTTTGAAGATGAGAAATTTAAGGTTCTATTGCATAACAAGTTTGATACACAGAGATTTTAAACTTATCTCAATTATTAATAGTGATTTAATTGTGTTTTTTTTTTGTTTAATTGTCAGGAATTTTCGAGTCAGTTTATGCGCACCTCGATTAATCTCCTCCTCAATTCAATAAAAAAGAAGTCATTCACGTTAAAACTAGAGTATTCATGGGCACAATCTTTTCTTTTTCTCTTTCACTTTCTTTTGAGGTGTTTAATGGACACAAGCCATGACCCCTCCATGTGGGTTGAGGAAACTTTAGCTTAATTATGCTAATTGAATGTCCTTTTCTCTCATGGCCCTTTGTTGTGATCACATGGTGCAGGCCATGGGCAAAGTTGAAAACTTTTATAAAATTAAACAAGGTGGGGGCCAAGTGGAGCAATTCATTGGCTTGCGTGGCAAAAGCTTGGAGATACAATAATATCTAGGATGTTGGAAAGTCTGAGGACAAGTCACATGTGAATAAGGATCTCTCTCATACTTGTTTAATCATTTTGTCAATGTTTGCCTCCTCATCTTTATAAATAGTTAAAAATTATGTTTTACCCAAAAAAAAAAAGGTTTAATTTCTCAATTTAATCACATATTAATTTCACAAAGTTATTGTAACGAAAAAAGTATTTTTTTTTTATGTTGTATTAAAATTATTTAAAAATAAGGATGAAGTTGTAACTCTAGCATGGTGACATTTTAATAAAATGAGGTTTAAGATCGATCTAAACTTTTGTTTTTTCCATTATGATTTGAACCTTTTAAGTTGCACTAGATCCAAAATAATAATAATATATGATATGATGTCTCATTTGGTATTGTAATTTTACTTTAATTTTACATTATTTAGTTTGCATTCGTCCCTTTATTAGGTCTGTCTATGAATCAAATTCTTTTGTAATCCATATCAGAATCTGTCAACAATTCAAAAATTCAATCTGATCCAAATAATTTAATTAATTAAATTTTAACAAATTATACATAAATTTCTTTAAATAATTACTAATTTTTTTTAATATTTATATAATAATATATAAATAATTCAGACCAGATTATAACCGGGATCGAATATAGGTATATCCAAATCCGAATCCGTGAAATATAAGACATCAAATTTAGATTATTGGTAAAAATTATTAATTCATATATGAGTAATTAAATTCAAATTTAGATTTAATTCGGATCAGAATCCGATCAATAGATATGTCTACCCTTAATATGGTATCACTTAACAATGTCCCACTTTATAAAACCGAAATACAGCATTTTATTTTGAGAAAAAAGACTTGTAAGAACACGAACCCTTTAAAGTAGCGTAATTGTATTGGGAAAAAAAATTGATACTATAGCAAAAGTTATTATTTTTTAATGTTAAGTTATAAATTTTAAAGATGAAGTAATAATAGCTTGAGATAATTTCCAATCGATCATAAATATTCTCTAATAAGTTATAACTTCATTTTTAAAAAGTGTAAGTTAATCTTTAGAAGTTATGACATCTATGATCGATGATAACATTTTAGTATGAATAACG